CTACCAGCCTGTCAGGGCCCCCTCTCCCACCAGGAGCCTGGCCAGGGCTGTGAAGCCCCCAGCAGCTGCTGCAACGCACAGCACCCGAGGTAGGTCCCCCTGCTGCTGGGCTGGGCTGGCTGCTGGCTTCTGGGGGGCCCTGGTGGGGGTCCCCATAAGGTAGTGGGGCTGGTTTGGGGGTCAGCACCTCACTGCTGCTGTCCCTGCAGTGAGCCACCAGCCAGGACTGGCTGGGGGTGGCTGGGAGGAGGCAGGGAGCGGGCACAGCTCCCAGGACTCCTCGCAGGGGAACGGCGAGTTGAGCCGCACCTCGGACTCCTGCAGCAAATCCGGCAGCGACAGCCACTCCGGGGCCAGCCGGGAGCTGACCCATGCGGCTGAGAGGTGAGAATGGGGCCCTGGGGGGCTCCCCTTCCCCCAGGACCTTCTGAGGTGTTTCCCTCGTCTCCACACAGAGGGCCCTCATTTTCCACACCGTTAATTTGAGTCCCCTGGTGCTGCTGGGCTGGATTCCTCCTGGCATGCTTGGCCTCTCAGCCCAGGCAGCCCGAGGGTGGGCAGAGCCGCAGGCAGGGGAACTGATTTGGGAAGGGCTCCTTGCCCCTGTCCACATGGAGGCATCTTCCCGGGCAGGGTGGATGCTGACGGCCTGGGTGACTGCGTGCGGGAAGTGAGCCTGGTGTCGGCGCTGACCCATGGCGCCAGGGTCTTCCTCACCAGGGAGGAAACACAGCACTTCGTCAAGGAGTAAGTGCCTAAAGTGGGACTGTGGGTGCTGCAGGGCTGGGGGGGGAGCACTGCGGGGGCTTGGAGGGGCAACCTGAGCCATTCTCACCCCTGTGGCTACCTTGGCCCAGACCTCTGGGCCGAAATGCTGCCAGGCAGGAGGGCTGCCTGCTCCTGGGGCTCGGGGTGCTCCCGGGGCTCGGGGCTGTAACCCCTTCCCCTTGGCCAGGTGCGGGCTGCTGAACTGCGAAGTGGTGCTGGAGCTGCTCAGCCGGGCGCTGGAGGACCCCAGTGACAGCGTCCGCATGGTGAGTGTGGGGCGGTCACGGTGTGCTGCTGGCGTGTGCCTGCCGTGCCTAGCCGGGGTGGAGGGATGGGGGGAAGAAGCAGCGCTAAGCTGGGGTGCTCTGGGGCCTGTCCTGCCTGCCGGGCTCAGCCCTGCTCTCCTCCCTGCAGAGATCCATGTGCGCCATCTCCTCCTTCATGTGCTCCGACCTGCTCTCCCTCGACCAGATCTTTGCTGTGACTCGGGAGCACCTGCAGCAGCTCAGCCAAGGCAGCCCCGGCCCCGTCACCAACCGAGCAACAAAGGTGACTCCGAGCAACAAACGTGCCCTCTCCCCCCGCTGTGCCCCCCTCTCCCCGGGGGAGGGGGCTCCTGGGGACTGGCCTGCCTGTCCTCAGGGACACCCAGACCTTGGGAGTGGTTCCCTGTGTGTCCCAGAGGGGTGGGAATTGTCTGCCTTTCCCAGGAGTGGGGCACAGGGGGGTGATGCTCCCTCCCCAGGGGACAAGGCTGAGCCCTGGGAGGGGACACCAGGCAGATCCCCAGCACTGGGAAAAGGGGCTGGGACCGGGCCCCCTTCCTGATGCCGCTCTCACTCCCACCCATTCCACTCCCAGATCCTGCGGCAGTTCGAGGCACTCTGCAGAGGCCAGCCTTCCCCGAAGAGCCCACGCCGGGACTTGGACCCCTCTGCCCTTGCCGTGGGCTCAGCCCCGTGCACCGGGGACCTGCTGACGGACATCCCACCCCTGGCCGGCGAGAGCATCCTCACCCCCCTGAGCGCAGCCCCGCTCTCTGTGGCTGCCCCGGCCTGCAGTGAGGGGC